ATGTCCTCTATCTGGCTCGGGAGCTTTTTTTTCTGGCGTTGTCTGATAAACACCCGTTTTCTATGGATTATTCTCCTTTGAGGATATTGAAGAGTTTGATTCTGTCTTTTCTGATTGATGTAGTCCTTCTTCTTAACCTAGCTCTCACAGCTTCTTTTGCAATTGATTCTCTAAATCACTAGAGTCTAGGAGTGCAACTTTTTGTGAAGCCCACCAAGATGAGGCTTTGTTAAACACAACATTCCTTGATGTGTAGCACCGTCTGGTGGTGGGATCACAACATCTCCATCCTTTTCTTTTATTGTCATACCTCACAAATATAAAACTTATAGCTTTTTTATCAAACTTGTTGCATAAGTGATCAGGTACAAAGACATAACATACACAACCGAAAACTCTAAAATAACTTATGATTGGGTTGATATTCCACAACTTTTGAAATGGTGACATGAGCTCTAGGTTTGGTTGTTGTAGCCGATTGATCACATGCAACACCGTCTTCATACACTCCGCCCAAAAACATCCTGGTACGTTCTTGGCATGAAGCATGCTTCGATATATCTTCGCAATGTGACGATTCTTCCTTTCAGCTATGTCATTCTGCTGTGGAGTATTTGGGCATGTTAGCTGTCGCTGAATCTTTTGCTGCTTAAGGTAATCGTAAAACTCTTTCGATGTGTACTCTCCCCCGTTATCTGTGCGACGAATCTTCTTGTCGAGTTCTCCTTCGACTTCTTAACGGAATTGCTTGAATTTGGAGAGTGCTTCAAACTTTTCCTTCATAAAATCAATCTAGACATACCTTGAGTAATCATCAATGAAAGTGATCATATACTGCATCCCAACAATTGATTCTTATTTTACTCAACCAAATACATCTGAGTGTACAAGCTCCAAAGATTCCTTGGCTCTGAACTATGACTTCTGATATGATAATTGATGCTTCTTACCGTACTGATAACCTCCGGATAAGGTCCCTTCATGAATATCCAAATGTAGAAGACCCTTCAACATTGACTTCTCTATCATGATCTTGAGCTTATGATAGCTCACATGGCAAAGCTGAGCATGTCATAAAGCAGTTTGGTTTTATCTATGTATGCTGATTTTGCCGACATCACATAGATAGATTTTACCTTTCATCCCTCCATGATAGATTCTCCTGGTGGCTTTAAGTTTCGATAGATTTTTACATCTTATGGCCCAAATACTACATAGTTTTTTAAAGCTGTTAATTGGGAAACAGATAGAAGATTCTTTTTCATACTCGGTACATAGTATACATATTGTAGTTATATCTGATTCGGGTTGTAGCGTGGCGTAAATATAGCCTTTCCGACGTGTGTGATAGGTAATCTCAAATTATTCGCTATCACAACTTCTCGACCACCTTTATAGTCCTTCACGTTGACAAGTTTTCCTTGTCTCCTATCATGTGGTTAGAACAGCCAGAATCGACGATCCAATCTTTATTATAGCTGATTTCTTCTCGATCTGAAACCACTGCAAATGCGGACTCAGATTCTTCTACAATCGAGGTTAGTGTCATACCAGAAACCTCATCTTCGTCGACTGGTACATTTTCAATGATGGTCACGGATACTTGGGCATTCCATTCTTCTTCATCATTTGGACATGTGTGCGATGTTGCAGCATTGCCCTCTGCAGGCCTCCTCTTGTAGTGGCACTCTCCGGCAAAGTCTCCTTTCTTCCCACAATTGTAACAGCTACTATCGGGTCTCCTTACTTGACGATCATCTTGCTCCTCATGCTGTTGTGTTTTGTCGGTGTATGACCATCCTGGCTACCTCCTTGAACCAACCTTTCCATACTCCTCTTTCCTCATGCCTCTTGATCTGCCTCTCTCCTTGTTGCTGAAGAGTACTTCATATTTACTTTTTATTGAAACGCCGACCATTTGTTTGGCTAGGATTTTCTGTGTAGCGAGCAAACTCTCCAACTCTAATAATGTTGGTTGAGTCGGGCACCCATGTGTAGCAACAACGAGTCTGTGATATTTCGATCTTAAACCATGGATGATTATTCTCCTCATCCTTGCATCATATACTTTAGAATCTGGATCTAGTTGAACAATTTCTAAACATAGTGATTTTACTTGTTTGAAGTACTGATTGATTGTCAGATCTTTTTGTAGCAAGGTCATCAATTGATTCTCCGGAGTTAAAGTCGGGCATCGTTCTTTTTCGAGAAGAGTATTACGAGCGTATCACATGCCTCCTTCGGAGTTCTAGCATCTCGCATATTGTCCACCAGATCTTCTTCAATTGTCGTCTTCATCATATACATAGCCTTACCGGCTTTGATGTTCCACTTTCTTAGTGCTTCGCCAGCTTCCTGATGTGTTGTAGTTTCAGCACCCCCATTGACCTCCCAAAGGTCTTGTTCTTATAAATAGGACTTCATACATGTCTTCCAGTAGTTATAGTTATTACCATTGAGTTTCTTGAGTGTAGTAGTCATATTTGTCAGATCTGCCATCGTGACGTGGTATTGCTTTAGTATCTCCACGCAAGTCTGGTCCCTGACCAACCAACTTTACAGTCCCAGATTGAACATGAAATTCAGCCTTCAAGAATGCCGATAGGATCACCGTAGGAGAGAACAGGTCCCTGACTGCATTGCTTCTATCACGAGCTATAACTTTCACTATTTCACATGAACAGTAACCATACTTATGACCAGTAACCCTATTCATGAATAGTACCATACTCATGAATAGTAACCAATACTTTCAAAGAGTATATGATAGTCTAGCTTATTTTCTGATGTGGAGAATTCACCTTTGATGGCAGTCACACAACATACGATAAGCAGATACACGCACCCTAATTTAGACTTTGATACAACTTGTTGAGTTAGAGGAGTGGTGGACACTAAGAAATATATAGTTATTATTTTTTTATGGTACAAACACACTATACTCTCACATACAAATACTCTCTCTCTCACTATCAATCTATCTATCTATCTTTTTCTTTCTCCCTCTGCTACTAGTTCTCACCATACTACTCTTATTTTCCCTTTTTGGATCCACAATCTCTTCACTCTTTCTTTTATTCTTTCTCAGTGGCTTGGGATGCTTCATAAACTCATCTTTGGCCCGTTATATAGAGTTCTTAAACTAGTTGGTGAAGGGGTTGGTGGAGACTATTTGGTGGTGGGTGGACGCTATTAGGATGGTGGCTTGGTAGGTGGGGGATTAGGTGGGGGAAGAAGCTCCTGACTTCAACAAACCTGCCCAAAACTAAAAAAATCTGTTTTAACTAGACTTGGTATAGAGTACGAGAGAGGTGGTCCAAATTAGAACTAATTTAATGGCCAAAATTTAGTCTGCAAATGTATGTCAATTATGGTTCAGTTTTTACAAAACAAAACTAAAACAAAAAAGACAATACTAGGACATGATTAGTCATGGATCAGTTTTTGAGGGGTTGTCAACCACATCCCTAGAATGGAACTTCGTTCTCAAATCAAGTAATTCAATAGGATTGTGCATTCACCGATTTGTATCTTCTCTTTATTTGACATTATTATTTTGATATGAGGAGAAATATGGCCGAATTTAGTCCTTAGCAAACCTTCAAACACCCCCCCCCCCCAAAAAAAA